GGCTGTATAGTCTCTCTGTGTGTGGAGACAAGAGTCCTTTCTCATGGAAATCTGCCGTGTCTCCACTTCCTCCGTGGGTCATCCACCTCCGAGTGTCCTCTCCCTGCTTTTCATCAAAAACACGAATTTAACCCTGACTACACTGCCTCCATTAGAGACTCAATGGTTTAAAAATGGCACACAAGCTTTGTGGGATTTGTGGGATTGCGAAACACAAGCCTACTCTTAAAAATAAAGGTCCTGATTGAAACCAAAAGGGGTTTTATAGCCTCATGCCAAAGAAGAACGTTTTTAAAGTTCATTTTTGGGTGGGTTTAGATCATCTGAGGAACTCAGAATGTAAAATCAAGAGCATTTTTTTTTTTATTTCAAAAGAGTCCAGGACAGACAAAAAGTGGGTAGCCTACTTTTAAGAAGAAAGCTTCATTTTTTTCTACAAGGTAATGTTTTAAAACAAGTGACATTGATGTGGAGATCCCAAAATATACTGGATCTCCCATGGCTCTTGATAAATTCCTCTCATATGTATATTTCCGAGACCTTTCTGGAGTTGCTCACCTCACTTTGACTCAAACGACTCATCTGCATTCAGGTTTGCTCGCTTGTAGACGGAACTTCGTAAAACCTGCGTCGAATTAGCCAATCATAACGTCAGCTGTCTGCAGTCTAGTCTGCATACTGATCAGCGCACGCCCATAAAGTCACGGACTGCCCAATTAACGACCATTTCAACTTTACTTCCTCTGGCAATGTGAGCAAAATATTAAAGAGGAGTGCTATTCGTCATTGTGCCTTTTAAAGCAACCTGACTAATACATGTATTTGTTTTATCGATTTTAAGCGTCGGAAGGAACCTGTCGCCTCCCTGTTGCTTTGCTATAAAGCCGCGAGCGCGAGTCAGTCCTGTCACGGAAGACGCAGTGAAGAACTGTATTATATGTGGAGGAAACTGTCCACGCACAGCTGACAGAACACCGTACAACATACTCGAACGCTTAACTTGCGTTTTATGCTTTAAAGTGCTTTGGGGAAAGAAAAGGAAAGTTACTGGGTGCAACATGAAATTTCTTTTACCTTCTGTAGTGATTTTTTTTGTTTTGTGCCAAGTTTTTGGAGAAGAATTGGGTCCAAAAGAAGACCTTGATTACTGGACAGGCAGCAATCAGATACAGGTGAGAATTTCTTCTTTTACTATTATCTAAACATGCCTTTCAGACCAAATCTATTTGAACACATTTTAGTTAGTTTTGAGTAATTTTTATAGTTTTAGGGCTGTTTTTCAGGACCTTTCGTTATACATATGCCAAAATAAAATACAATTTAAAAATGCATATTTTTATCAAGTAGTCTCATTACATTGACTATATTTAGTATATATTCATAATCGTGTATGTGTGTGTGTATATATATATATATATATATATATATATATATAGTGATAATGTTAGTTATAGGCTATTTCATATAAAGTTAATTATATTTAATTATGCTACTTTTTATTATTATATCTCAGCTGCATAGAGTTTATAATAGAAAAGTAACAAATGACAAAAAAGTGCATATATTTTTTTATCAAGTAGTCTCATTACATTGACTATATGTAGTATATATTCATAATCGTGTGTGTGTATATATATATATATATATATATATTATTGTGATAATGTTAGTTATAGGCTATTTCATATAACGTTAATTCTATTTAATTATGCTACTTTTTATTATTATATCTCAGCTTCATAGAGTTTATAATAGAAAAGTAACAAATGACAAAAAAAGTGTGCAAATTACATTGTAATTACTAATTAATTACTGTGTAATACTTATGATCAACATTATATAGTTATTAAGTGATTGTGCATATAATTGTACATCGTTATTATCGATTTGGTAGGATATAACCACCTATTTAGTATTGAGGATGACCAAATGCAATAATTTAGTAATCGACCATTAAAAAAATAAAATAAATAATAAATAAATAAATAAAATATGGGGAATACCATATAGCAGTAACAGTACTAATTATAGTATCATGTAATATGCGCAACATGGATGATGTTTTAATTAGATTCACTGGGTAATTAGTCAGGGCTCCAGCACAATACCCACAGGTCGCTGTCCAGTGCTGAATTAGTCAATGCTCTTCCTGCTTGTTTGAATGGAGCGCACGTTTCCCATTTGACATTGCGGATTGGAAGACAGCCAAGCACTTTGTCTTTCATGCTCTTTGTGTCCATAAACCGCATCTTTGCCAATGCTGTACCTTGTAGAGTATTTCTGTGCTCAAAAACTGTGTTGAAAAATCATGAAATTTTGTGAATTCTGTATTGGGATGAATTGGAGAGTTATAAAATACTGTTTGTATCAAAAAGTACTTCTACAGTGAGTGGCATCTGTCTGCTGGGGGTCTGACATTCAATAATCAAATAATCTTTTGTAGGATGAGTGGCTTCAGGCGGATCCCTTCAGAGAGATACTAAGACGCATGACGAGGAAACCCCGACCTCATCAGTTCATTGGTCTGATGGGCAAACGGTCCTCTAGTAAGACCACACTCCTATATCTCACCTAATTTGCAACTTATGCATGTTATAAATATTCAGATTTTGAGAAGTTTTACCTAGAACGCAGCAGAATATAAAAATGCTTTTGACCTATAACTTACATCTCTTTCATTCTTTCACCCCCACAGCAAATGCCCAGATTGCACGAAAAAGTAAGCGATCTCCACAAGAACACTACTGCATACAATGCATATATTTGCTAAACACTTATAATTGCATAAAAGCAATGATACTCTTCAAGAGAGATTTACATATACAATTACATAGACATGTTCAGTTTTTTCCTCACAAAGAAAAACAATTTTGTTTTACAACTTGATCTTTGCAGGTTTTTCACAGGCTCAGTCACACATTCACAGCTTATTAAATATATAATCTTAAGAGCTATAGAGGCACACGATCCTTCTTACTGCAAAAACTCACATTCTCAAGGTCAAAATTTTCACAGTAAAATAAAAACAATTGTAAAGACAAAATCAATTCAACCGCACTCTAGACTTCAACAGTATGACATCTATCTATCTATAATATTTTAACATAATATTTTTCCCTTTATTGTCTTCTAGGGCATAAAATCAATTCTTTTGTGGGACTGATGGGTAAAAGAAGCCAAGAGGAGCCAGGTAGGAACTCCAAAAGCTCTCTTTTAGGTTTAGTGGATTAATTAATATAATAATAATGATAAAAAAGTAGTAGTGATTTAAAACATTAAGTTATGATCTGTTTGTAATACTGACCTTCTCTCTTCACAGAATCGTATGAATGGGGAACAGTACAGATCTACGACAAAAGGCGTTAACCGATAAAATGGATCATCGTCACATCCGCTTCCTAAAGGATAATTTCATTCTGTGATATTCATTGATTTTTATTTTTTATTCAGGTCAGAAATAAAAAACAAATCTTATTTTACATTGTGGTAATATGGCCGAGTCGCACCTGTGTCAGTTTATTTACGTCATTTAGAAAGGATCAGACGTTTTAATACGGCGATCAAACGTGTTTCTGTCACAACATCTCTCCTGGTGTTGTGGAGCATTAAAGCAAAGTGGTGTCCTTTCTAAGGTACTCAGAGATTTGTGCTGACAGTGTCAATACATAGTGCCTCATAGTGTTTTCACCATGACTGAAGATGTTGTATAATAGCGCCAGTCCAGGTGTGATGTCCTGTCACTGCTACGAGCAAAGGTTTTGCTATCTTGATATCTCTGTGTGATTGTAGCTTGATATTAAAAATATTTTCTTTATTGGTGGAACTTTTAATTCCTTGTCGTATCGTTGAATGAGTGGTGTATGGCGCTCTCACAGTGATGCACTCACGCCACCTACAGGCCATTAGGAGTATTGCAACCAGCAACAAGTATCCTTTCGAAGCAGGCTTATCGAAATTAATGAATAAAACACACATCACGACTGCTGTTTTGACGAAAGGCTTTATCAATACCATGACCAGATCTTTTAATGCAATAGCTTCAGCATTTGTTGCACATTAAACCCAAATGAACTGAAAACATCTTAAACCGTTAAGTATGGGAAGTTAGTTTCTTTAACCATTCAAGCTACATACTATCTTTACTGTAATTCATATTTCATTCTTTAAGCCACTTTAAAGTGATGGTGCACCAAAGAAAATACAAATATTAAGTGTAAAAAATAATAAAATCAATTCATTTTGTAACAAAAATACAGTCATTAAAGTGGCAATCCCACTGAAGGAACCTGGGAAAGTGCATAGCTCAAGAACACAGTGATAGTAGTTCATGGACAGCAAAGTTTGACCCTACAACATTTCAGTTTCCAGTCCAGAATATTACAAAAACATAGAAACTTAAATTCATTACTGGACCCAAAAATACATATACACAACCGTTTATAAGTTTGGGGTCAATAAGATTATTTTCTTTTTTAAATAAACACAGTAACGACTTTAACATTGTTACTTTTCACATTTCAAATAAATGCTGTTCTTTTGAACAATCTACTCGTCAAAGACTCTAAAAAAAATATATGAATCAGCGTATTTGAATGATTTCTGAAGGATCATGTGACACTGAAGACTGGAGTAATGATGCTTCAGCTTTACATCACAGGAACATTTTACATTTTAAAATATATTAAAATAAGCCGTTTAAATTGTAATACTATTTCACAATATTACTGTTTTTACTGTATTTTTGATCAAATAAATGCAGCCTTGGTGAACAAGAGACTTTTTTCAAAAACATTTAAAAAAACCCAACCTTTGAATGGTAGTGTTACTTAAAATTACAACAAATTACTTGTTATTAATGTAAAATGAGAAATTAATATGTAAGTGTAAGAAGCTTTCTGTACCTTTGACTTGAATTTCTTTTGTTTAATTAATATTAAGTTATCATAGTTTTACTAAAGTAACAAAACTATTTTAGAAGAAACAATGGTTACTGTGCCATTTTTTAAGGGATTCCTATAACCTACAAACTACACAAATTGACTTGTTTTGGTTTGTTTAGTTATACATTTAAGCTCCATAAAAAGAAGAAGAAGAAAAAAATAAGAATATATGAGTATAATGGAGGCCTCCATTTATCTTTTGAAATATATTGCATGAGCTGAAGATACTCAATTCTCTTTAGGGAAGACTAAACAAACCAACCTAAAAAAAAATACTTTAGTAAACTGAACAGAGAAAGGTGAGGCAAAAAAATATATTATGGTAATGTTTGAACTGGCACGTATGTATGCAGTAGTGAATGTATGGTCTAGGCAAGGTCTGAAGCTTGATGTGGTCTGGTTAATGTGATTAATGTGATAACTGGTCTTTATCTGGCTTGTAAATGGACAGGGTTCTGGCCGAGGGGTCAGTGGCCTTGATCCAGCGGGGCATCCAGTAATGTGGCGTCCACACACAGCGGTCGGGGTAATGCTTCTCAAAGATCTGCCTTATGTAGAAGCCCTCTTTGGTTGTGGGTGGATTGAAAGAGAACCGCGTATTGGCCTTCTCCAACTGAGAGTCATTCACCTGAATGAGAAAAGAAAAATTAAAGGACGAGATGACAGGGAAGAGGCTTTAAAATCACTGTGTCATGTGCAAGTGTAGCACCTCAGACTCGATGTGCTCCTGCAGGCTGGTGTACCAGGATTTCTTCATGGATGTCATACCGTCACTGAAGGCCTCCTTCCTCCTCCAGAGAATCTCATCTGGGATGAGTTTCAAACCTTTAAATGCTTCCCTCAAGAGATGCTTCTCCACACCATCCTGCTTCAATCAAACAAGTTATTCAATCTGGTTACAGAAACCACTCAGGTGAATTTTGAAAAAGAAAGCGAAAATACAAGGTACACCATAACTATTGCTCATATTAATCCCTACAGTATAAAGCCTACTGCATCATATCTGATACACACTTTTCACATAAGGCCTCTAACATATGAATGACCAAAACCAGTTGTACACAATCTACTACATGCCTTCTGTCAACTGAAGGCATGTAGCTAGCAACTGTTTTTTAGCTAGCAAAAGGCCTTTTAGTATATTTTTAAAAACATCCAACTTCACGTTGTGGATTCCATATCTTTTTACTCTGAAATGATTTTTATAAACTAAAAGAATAAAACTTTCATAATTTTATTATTTCAAGATGAACACTTACTGGACTGAAGCAACTTAAAATCTTTTTTTTATTTTATTTTTTTTAGAAAAATCATGTTAAGATGTGAGTATCAAATATGATCTATCAGGCTTCTGAGGAACATTTATTTATTCATCTTTGATTTATCATCATTGCAATGCATTGCACTATATGTTTTTCCACCACAATAAAAACTACAGTGCTTTGATCGTAAAACTAAGCATTTAAATATTATCTCACAGATAATATCATAGTGACAACTGATATTTATATGATTTTATGCAAATAGTCTTTTATACTATTCTAATGATCTCATTAGATTTACATTTACATTATAATTAAATATAATTAAACTCTACATTTACATTTACATTTATATATATCAGAATTTCATCTTATTTTTATGGCCATATAATAAAAGCAACTGCACCAAACTGCATATTTTGCTCAGTTTGGGCCACTGAATAAAACTGAAGTGCTTTTTTCTGAGTATGAACTCTATATTCTCACTACATCATAATATATGAGCCATAAAAGCATGAGGTATCACAGAGAGACCCCAAGAGGGAACAAGGTGCGATCTGGGAGGATTTAATCTCCTCGCGTCTCTCAGGAACCTGGCGGTCAGGTCGTGCTTCCCCAAGGATCTTCTATCCACTGCATTGTGATGCGCCGCAATGGCAGAGACATATACTTTCAAAGTGGAGGGGGACAGCCTCTGCTTCAACTTTTCTTGCTGGAAGGAAAGCACAATGCTGACCAGACATCTCTGGGGGTCCTCTCGGCCAGAGGAACACCAGTCAATGAACAGATCTCACTTCAGATCATAGGCCTGCCTGGTAGAGGGTGCCCTAGCCTGAGTGATAGTATCTGTCACAGCCTGTGAGGGGCCAGAGAGGTCTGCCACATCCCGTCCAAAAGCCAAACATGCAGGTTCCACTGATAGGGACATGGGTGCCAAATAGTGCACTGCCCCTGAGAAAGAAGGTCCCTTCTCAGGGGGATTCTCCAGAGAGGGGCTGTCGCGAGGAGCGTGAGATCGGAAAACCAGGTCCTGGTGGGCCAATACGGTGCAACCAACAGGACCTGCTCCTCGTCCTCCCTGATCTTGCACTGGGTCTGTGCAAGGAGGCTCACTGGGGAGAAGGCGTACTTGTGTAAACCCCAGGGCCAGCTGTGCGCCAGAGCATCTGTGCCGAGGTGAGGGAGTAGAACAGCTGGCAGTGGGAGGATTCCTGGGTAGTGAACATGGCCACCTGGCCTTCCCCGAATCGACTCCAAATCAGCTGGACCGCCTAGGGATGTAGTCTCCATTCTCCCGGAAGGGTAAGCAGTCCTGAGAGCACATCGGCTGCACGATTGAGCTCCCCAAATTTGAGCCGCATCTGACCCCAGAGGAGGAGATGGCGGGCGAGTTGCGACATGCAATGGGAGGGTACCCCACCCTGATGGTTGATGTACGGAAACGTTGCAGTGTTGTTCGTGTGGATGAGCACATGCTTGTCTTGCAGCAACGGACGAAACAGGAGAATTGCAAGCAGTACTGCCAGAAACTCGAAGCAATTGATGTGCCACTCCGTCCAGGAGCCCAAAACTGTTTTCCCCCTGAACGAATTCAGGCAGTTCAGCACCGACTGAGCACGCTCGTTCGTGAGACGTGCTGTCATGTTGACAGAGTCCAGCTCCATACGGAGAAAAAAGATGCTCTGCACAGGGAAGAGCTTGCTGTTTTCCCAGTTGACCCAAAGCCCCAGCTGGCTGGGATGCTGAAGCACCATATCCCTGTGCTCACAAAACAGAGATAGTTGAGGACTCGGATGCCCTTCTCCCGAAGTGGGAACAGGGCACCCTCCGCAACTTCTGTAAAGATGTGGGAAGACGGGGACAGCCTGAAGGGGAGGACCTTGTACTGATTCGACCTGACGCTCAAAAGCAAATCGAAGAAATGGTCTGTGTCAAGGTAGAATTGAGACGTGAAAGTCTTTCAGGTCGATCTCTGCAAACCAATCCTGGTGTATAATGCATGAAAGAATGTGCTTCTGCGTCAACGTCTTGAACGGAAGCCAGTGAAGGGACCGATTCAAGTCCTGCAGATCCGGATAAGTCGTAACCTACCACTCTTCTTAGGTACAATGAAATAAGGACTGTAAAATCCCAATTTCATCTCAGATGGACAGACAGGCTCTATTGCATCCTTTGCCAGGAGGACTGCAATCTCTGCATGCAGGACAGGGGCATCCCTGTCGGTCACAAACGTAAACAGGATGCCCCTGAACCTGGGAGGGTGCCTGGCGAACTGAATCGCACAGCCGAGTTGAATCGTCCGAATGAGCCAGCGAGACGGGTTGGGGGAGTGCTAGCCAGGCTCCCCCGGGGGTGGGGGCCCAGACGTTAGTGACCCCAAAAGAGCAACCCCTTCCATCTCTGGGTTGCCCATCTCAGGGACGCTTTGTGGTCTTCTGGCTCGACGCCTCTGAAATCTCGACGCCCCTGTTGAGGAGTCTCCTTCTTGGATTCCAGTTGGGGCGGAGCAGATGTTGACCCCGCAGGGGGTGCCCTCTGCGACGGGCAGACGAAAACCCAGACCTCAGCAGTTTGGCAAACGGAGTGTCCTACCGAGGAAATATGCTTCTGAACTGCCGAGAACTGCTGGGCAAAGTCCTCAACAGTGTTGCTGAAAAGGTTCATACAGGTTTAGCCAGAGATGGTGCTCCTGAACCACCATGGTAGAGATCACCTGCCTGAGGGACGGTGACATGACCTTAGTTTTTAAGCTCCTTAGCCTGGTGTACTTGCAGGATGGTCATGGCATGCAGGGCAGAGGCGGCCTGGCCCGCAGCACTGTAAGCCTTGGCAGCCAGGGCTGACGACAGCTTACAGGCTTTGGACAGAAGGCGCGGATGGTTCCTCCAGGTGGCGGCGTTTTGCGGGCACAGGTGCACCACAACCGCACGCTACACCTGGGGAACGTTGACGTACCCCTTGGCCACCCCACCATCGAAGGTAGTGAGGAGGGAAGAGCTGGGGACTGCTCAGCAGAGACTTCAGCATCAGACGACTATAGCCCCTTCTCTGATGCTGCGAAAGACATATTATCCTCTTCAGGAGCCCCGAATGAGACACTGGGTCCACCACGGACCAACCGGCGTCATCATCCGTGAGCTTGACGGTGCTACGCTGTGAGGAGCAGGACTTTCGTGGGGGCTGGCCCAGCAGAGCATTCCTGACCGTAATCCTCAGGTCTCCCTTGTCCCTAACCAACGCGGCCTCGAGATCTTTATGACCAGAGGAACCGGACTAGGTAGAGCTTGAGGGAAGCCTCATAATGAATTAGAGCCACAACCACAGCATAGCCATGGACATGTGCTCGCAGTGCGGGCATGAACCATCCACCAAAGCTGTCTCAGCATGCTTGTGGCACACACTGCTGAATGCACTGTATAAAGCTGGTTAGAATCTACTGCAGAGTGAAGGCTTCTTCATTTCTTCGTAAAAATTCTTTTGAAAGAAAGTGCTCACAAATCATTCGGCTCCGAGGCAAAAATCTGAATGAGTGGATGCACGCCGCCATCTTATATACCCATATGTACAGGGAGTGGCTTGGCATGCAAATTCCACTCGCCAATTGACATTGGTTGTTTCTCGTAATGCTCAGAGGTGATTGGGGCTCCCAAGTGAGACCCCTGATGTCAGTGTCGACGTAATGTTGAACGTGACTGACTGAAAGGGAACCCACCTTAGGCACTCTCATCTCTTCAGGCAGAGAGAGGTAGTATGCGGTGAACCTATGGTCCAGGAAAGGCACTCTCAACTCCAGTCTAATGAAGACAATAAATACATAAATAAATAAATAAATAATTTTGCAGTGACAAATACTGTGAAAAATGACCAATCACCAATTTTCTGTGGAAAGAGAAGAGAAGGGACATGTAGTCTAACCCATGTGCAGCTGTGGTTCTGTCCGCTCTCAGCACGTCAAACAGATAAAGCTCTTTCAGCAGACGCACACTGTCCTCTGCAGCTGCTTTAGGTGATGGCGCCTGATTCAAAAGAAAACTAACATTCAGCTGAAAGCTCAACAGTCACAAAATACAGCAACAATACATGACAGTAAAGACTAACATACTGAACACAAATTATTTGAACACTTAAGATTTGATGTGCACAATCAATACAGTTAAGCACAATTATTTTGATCAAACTTCAAAGTATATTAAAAAAACTAATAAAAATAAACACTAACTCATGGCTAATACAGTAATATTAATTAAATAAAAGGTCATTTAAGTACTTAAAGAGAGTTCACTTTAATTACTAGTTTCATAACATTCAAGTAAAAACTGCACTGTAATAATGAATGAATGAACAAATTAAGTGTTAAAGTACATTTAAAATTATTGTTTTAATAATCTTCTGTCATGCTATGTAATAAGTACACTTATTTTGATGTGTTGATCATATTAAAGCACAAAGTACTTGAAGTTTTATTCTGTTATTTGAGTATATCGATATTTACATTTACCTATTACATTAACAAATTAATATTTTAATTGCACCAGAAAGCACCTACATCATAACAAATGTGTAATTACAAGTTTCAAAAGAAAATACATTAAAATATATTTTAGTATACATAGTTAAAATGTACTGACAAGCATCTATTTCAATGACAACAGAAGTAATTACAAAATTACATATAAAGATGTACTTAAGTCCTACTTAAGTGGGTCAACCCCCCACCCCCACCCCACAAAAACACTCTAAAGTGCAGCTAATTGCATTTAACATAAAATGAATCTATAATACATTTTCATTTAATTATAAATAACATGCAATGAACTGTCCAAAAACATCAAATTCAGTTCACACTTAAGTACTACTGTAAATATACTTAAGTTGATCATACAATAACATGTACCTTATGAAAGTAGATGTACCCTTGTGTCAGCTCATCCGAACCTTCACCTGAGAAAATCACAACGCTGTCAGTCTTCTCACGGATGTACTTTGATATCAGGTACATGCCTGCAGAAAAACACAGAGATCACTGAACAGCCTTTTTTTTTTTTGGGGGGGGGACACTACTGCCATCTAGTGGTAAAAAACACTACTACTATCTAGTGGCTATCACAAATCCAGCAGCTTGTTGAAGAGAGGTGCTTCAAATTCACTGCTGGACAATAACCAATCATTTGTATTCTATAATATTTTTCTGATATATTCCTAATGACAATTTTATTTGTTCATACTACAAACACTTTGTTTACCATTTTTATCACAGAGAAAGGCAGAATAGTTTCTATACTGTAATTAATGCAATATCAATTAGTACTGCATTATTCATATACTTTATTTTTTACCTGGAGATAACTTGAAAAACACACATAAACCATATATTGTCACAATTGTGTTTTTAACGTCTTCACGTTTCATCAGTCCAAACATTTTTGCTTTTTATTCAGCTTAAACGGCCATTGCTGGATGCTTTTGTCCATATTAGGGATTTCCTGGCACGTTGTAAGTTATTACTTCTATGAGTCCGTCTTGGATTTTCTGTGCGAGAGCACCCTCCGGCGTCAAGTGTGAATGAAACAGACACTGCATGAGAGTGTTTAGCGCTCTGTAATAATCACACAAGTGTGCCGCAAAAGTCCTCAAAAGTGAAGCCAAAACATTTTGTTCGTCCCCAGGTGGCTGGACCCAGTATAGGTCATAAACTCCACACTCTCCATGTAATCTAATGGGACCTAAGACAAACTAAAGAATTAAATTACACTTCAAATAAATTTTTTCCAAAGATGGTTTTTGTCATTTTATGTAGCTTTTATGACTCTGATGAAAGTTCAAGTGTTCGTTTTTTAATGAAGTTTGGTTTTAGTTTGTTATTTGATGCTATAAAAACGGTGTGTGACGTCATGATTGGCAACTGATAGTATATACAATATATTAATATGTCTGTGATTGACTCTGCGTGAGTGTGGGTGGGACCTTGATAGCCCGGCTCCACTTAGCTCACTACTGCGACTCGGGACCCGAATCAGCGCAAGATGTCAGCGCCATATTGGGACATTGGTGGCTTCACTTTTTTACAATGGAATAGAGGGAAGGTGCGTCGTCCATCTTTTTTACAGTTTATGTGATCACATTGCCTCAATCTGTATACAAAAAAAACATCAGGTCACGCACAAACTATCCTGACTCTTTGAATTTAAATCTAGATTTATTCACACCGTCCCTTGTAATCCTCTATGTGAACACACTTGCCTGAAAAAGTGTTGGGGACAAATGTACGTGTTATTAAAAGTGGGGACACACACGTCCCCGTGTATTCTATGCCCATGGGTGTGTCATTAATTTAGGTACTTTTTCCTTGCCAAATATAAATGAATTTGCTTTTTCAAGAAGTTAGAATCAACCTTTTTACACAAACGAAGGGAAAGAACACCAAGAGAAGTGAGCAGAGAAAACAGATGGGAGATTGCCTTGTGCTGAACCTAACTAACTTTATAAGCAGTATAATGCTGATGATGCAAGTTTCAGACCCCCATTATCTCTAATCCAGAGAATTCATGTGGTCACATGAGTAGAGCAGAGGAATGGTAGTTAACTAAACCCTAAAGCCAACCAGCTTAGGTCTATGGGCACAATGACAAAAGGATAGTTTCATCGACACTTTGCAAATGTTAAAGAGAAATTAATACTTTACTAAAAATTCCACCACAGTGTGCCATGCTAGTTATGCGGAGACGCAAAGGAGAAATAAACTTCACATTTTGTGTTTCAGAGAAGAAACTGATTAAATGAAGGAACTGATCATCTAACTATTTAAATGTATTAGTAGAATTTTTTTCCCCATTTAGTTTGATGAACTTGTGTACTCACCGACAGAAGCACGCAGAGTAGTACTGTCATAACTCTCCAAGTGAATGATGACGTCCTCCAGCGCACGGATCCCCTCCTCAGGTGTGAAGTTAACCTCATGGTGTTCACTGCCAATGTGGGCTGCCACCTGTCACACAAATATTTTATATATCTTTCTCTAATGGTCAACCTTTTAAAAAGGTTGATCATCAACCTCAGAAGGACACACTAATTATTATTTGAGCTATTTAAAAACAATTTACAATTACAAAAATTGTAACAGCTTTGTACAAATAGTAAACAGTTTAAAACCCTGATGTGCGTAATTTTGTAAGTTTCTATCAATAAACATTAACGTTTAATTGACAATGTAATAGACATTTTGAACAGTTTTGGATAAACTTATATTTCTCATTAATTAAATTTACTTGATCATTTTCTTTTTTTACAATAACTTTAGGCTTTAGGTTGAGCTTGATGAATCCAGTTTGTGTAAAAAAAAAACACACAAAATGTGATGAGATTAATCATCTTCCTGTCATGCTGAAAACAGCCAAATAAGTCTCACATCTTCAATGTCACAATTTTAAGGAATGTTACAGTTTTTGTAATGGTGGTTGCATACAAAATGTGGGACACAATGAAATATGTTTCTGACAGATAAAATCTGTTAATTAAAAATATTTTTATTTAACTGGATTGAAAATCAGTTCAAAATCGTATGCAACTGCTTTTGATCATTATTGGTTGATACAGCATTTGATGAGTTTAAAATGTGCTACTTTCACGGTAAGTTAATAATATTTTAGGTAATTGTTTAAATCCAAGATCTAATCACACACAAAAATACCTTGGATTGTGTCTCTAATGCTTTAACGTTTCCTATACTCACGAAACATGCTTCTGACGTTCAGGCCATCGAACATTAAAGTGCATTCAAAATGCTACACGTTCAGTGTGACTGACCTTGCGAGCAGCAGCAACATCTGGACTGTCTTCTGCACCGATGGAAAACGTCTGAATGGGATACGGGAGCTGCTCTTCTTTGGCCAGTTTCACAAGTGTAGCAGCAACCAGACTTGAATCGAGACCACCTGGAAATAAAACCATCATGGACGGGATGAACGTAAGAAAATTAATCAGAGTAACTAACCCACTAAATCAAAGCAAAGAACTAAATGAGCACAGACACCTGAGAGGAGGCAACCGATTCTTCTGTGAGCCATCAGGCGTTTCTTTACCGCATCTTCAAACAGGATCCTAATGTTGCTCTTGACTGTCTCCAGTTCAAAGCCTGATGAAAAGAAAGAAACTCATTCTCTTTAGTTTAGACTGACGGTACATTAAACGGTGGTTCCATTTTCCCCATTCATCTGCTCCACAGATATGAATAATAATGACGATGATGATAAAAATAAAGCTGAATAACATTTAAACCACAACATTCAAATATTCAACGTTTTTGAATATCAGAAAAAGGCCTTGTGTGTTCATTAGACAATTAGCAATGATGGTAATTAATCCTTCTTTTGGATCTTTTCAAGAATCAGATTATTCAGTTCACAAAACCTGATTCAATTCAGTCCAGCAGTTAACAACCTTCCTCAGGGGAAGTCAAATTGAGATTTGCTATATAGTGTATATCGCCCTATGTGAGCATACTGTATGCATGAGGAATAAAGTTGGACCTACTTGTATATCAAACTTCATAAAAAGAGCTGGGTGATGATATAGTTACACTTTGTGACAAAATAAAACCAGGCAGTTAAGATTTGCCATACAGTATATACATTTGCCATACATGCAGATAAATTTGGATACAATTTTATTTTGTCACAAAATGTAACTAGATAATCACCCCACTCTTTTTTCCAATCTATGTGTCATACAGAGCTATCAGAGTGCTTAAAACACAACAAAGTAGAATTAACTACTTTTATGATGCTGAATATGACATCTACCTGTGCCAAGACCCTCCAGGTTGTTATAGGCGGCGTGTTTGGGTTCTTCTGTGCAGCAGTGGAAGCGATCCATCTGAACAGACTCCACTTTTCCAGTGAGCTTCAAGTCAAACACTTCAAAGCGTCCCGGTGGGAAGGGAGTGATCTTTGCAGGAGTGGACATGGAGGTTTTGAGGTCTAGCAAACCTGTTCAGAATAAATCAGTTAAAACATAATGCTGTTAAAATCATAGGCTGTAATTTAGGGTATTCAAAGTGTGCAAAAACTCCAGTTAGTTTTGCATGAGTCATTATACCTTTGGCCTCAGAATTTTTTTTTTTAACAATAACTTTAGGTTGAAGTTTAAGCTTGATGAATCCACTTTGTGTATATATATTTTAAAAAAGGGAATAATTGTCTTCCTGTCATGCTGAAAACCACCAAATAAATTTCACATCTTTAAATGTCACAATTTTGAGGAATGTTGTAATGGAGGTTGCATACAAAATGTGGGACACAATGTTTCTGATAAACAAAATCTGTTCAAATAAAAAACTATATATTTTTTACCTAACTGGATTGAAAATCATTTCTAAATATTTTTATACTAAATATGTATAAAAACTGTTTTTTTCACATTTGATGAGTTTAAAATGTGCTACTTTCACGGTAAGTTAATAATATTTTAGGTAATTGTTTAAATCCAAGATCTAATCACACACAAAAATACCTTGGATTGTGTCTCTAATGCTTTAACGTTTCCTATACTCACGAAACATGCTTCTGACGTTCAGGCCATCGAACATTAAAGTGCATTCAAAATGCTACACGTTCAGTGTGACTGACCTTGCGAGCAGCAGCAACATCTGGACTGTCTTCTGCACCGATGGAAAACGTCTGAATGGGATACGGGAGCTGCTCTTCTTTGGCCAGTTTCACAAGTGTAGCAGCAACCAGACTTGAATCGAGACCACCTGGAAATAAAACCATCATGGACGGGATGAACGTAAGAAAATTAATCAGAGTAACTAACCCACTAAATCAAAGCAAAGAACTAAATGAGCACAGACACCTGAGAGGAGGCAACCGATTCTTCTGTGAGCCATCAGGCGTTTCTTTACCGCATCTTCAAACAGGATCCTAATGTTGCTCTTGACTGTCTCCAGTTCAAAGCCTGATGAAAAGAAAGAAACTCATTCTCTTTAGTTTAGACTGACGGTACATTAAACGGTGGTTCCATTTTCCCCATTCATCTGCTCCACAGATATGAATAATAATGACGATGATGATAAAAATAAAGCTGAATAACATTTAAACCACAACATTCAAATATTCAACGTTTTTGAATATCAAGAAAAAGGCCTTGTGTGTTCATTAGACAATTAGCAATGATGGTAATGAATCATTCTTTTGGATCTTTTCAAGAATCAGATTATTCAGTTCACAAAACCTGATTCAATTCAGTCCAGCAGTTAACAACCTTCCTCAGGGGAAGTCAAATTGAGATTTGCTATATAGTGTATATCGCCCTATGTGAGCATACTGTATGCATGAGGAATAAAGTTGGACCTACTTGTATATCAAACTTCATAAAAAGAGCTGGGTGATGATATAGTTACACTTTGTGACAAAATAAAACCAGGCAGTTAAGATTTGCCATACAGTATATACATTTGCCATACATGCAGATAAATTTGGATACAATTTTATTTTGTCACAAAATGTAACTAGATAATCACCCCACTCTTTTTTCCAATCTATGTGTCATACAGAGCTATCAGAGTGCTTAAAACACAACAAAGTAGAATTAACTACTTTTATGATGCTGAATATGACATCTACCTGTGCCAAGACCCTCCAGGTTGTTATAGGCGGCGTGTTTGGGTTCTTCTGTGCAGCAGTGGAAGCGATCCATCTGAACAGACTCCACTTTTCCAGTGAGCTTCAAGTCAAACACTTCAAAGCGTCCCGGTGGGAAGGGAGTGATCTTTGCAGGAGTGGACATGGAGGTTTTGAGGTCTAGCAAACCTGTTCAGAATAAATCAGTTAAAACATAATGCTGTTAAAATCATAGGCTGTAATTTAGGGTATTCAAAGTGTGCAAAAACTCCAGTTAGTTTTGCATGAGTCATTATACCTTTGGCCTCAGAACAGACAGCTAGAAAGCCGTTGTCGGTGAGCAGTCTGAACAGCGGTCTCACGCCGTACGTGTCCCTGCCTATGAAAACCTTCCTGTTAGCCGTGTCCAACAAGATGAAGGCGAATACGCCATCGAGCATGGAGGCCATCTTCTTGATTCCAAAGCGATCGTACAGGTGCAGAAGGATCTCGCCGTCGACTTTAGTCTGATACTCAAACTCAAACTGATTCTTCAGCTATAAAGATAACATTGGTCAACAAATGTTACGTTAAACCATGAAGGGATATAAAACATATCAGATATCAGCAGTGCTGGGCAGTAATTGATTATATGTAATCTGGATTACTTCAGGTTTCAAAAATGAAATACTTGTAATTCAATTTTATTACATTTTTTAAATAATCGGAATAAAGTTACTTTTGGTTATATGATTACTTAAAGGCACAATATGTAATTTTCGCCGCTAGAGGGCGCATCCAGGCGACACAATGACACTATGGACACGCTCCGTGTCACTAGTTAAAATTGCTTATTTCTCTGGATTTAAACATTCTTCGAAACATTTGGGATAATGCAAGTACACAAGTCAGCAAAATATATAACACTGTTCTAGTGGTTTTTGGATATTTTAATAAAAAATATTACATATTGTGCCTTTAAACTGTCAGGAAATTATTCATAGATTCATCCGTCTTTTAAATTTTCCTTTCTAAAATGGCCTATTTCTTATTTATGTTCAGAAAGTCTTCAAGATTTGTGCAATTGCACACATAGACTTGCCACTCAGGCGGCTGTAATTATACGGAAAAGTGCAAGGCCACACAGCATAAATAAAAAAATTATTTAATCTTTTTTAGTAATTGCTTTATGTTGACTGCTATTTTTTTTACTTTAACAGTTTTAAGATTCAATTCTTTTTTTCTCTTTGCATTTTATATCAGTATGGCACAATATATATCTATTCAAATCAATGTAATAAATGAGTTAGGTCAAAAGTAATGTAAAAGTAATCAAAAAGTACTCAGAGTACATTACCTAAAAAATGTAACAGATTACATTACTACAATTTTCATCATGTAATTTGCGTTCAGCAATGGGCTACATTTTGTAAGAAATCTACCAAGCACTGGATATCAGGCACATAAGTGGAAGAAACGTTTATGAATGGATATAATCAGAATGAAAAATGGTGCTAAAACATCAAAAACATTCAGCTACCTACCCTGATGTGGTTGTAGATCTCTCCGTTGTAACATAACCAAAGATAAGGGAACTTCTTGACTCGCAGAGGCTGCATGCCATACAGCTGGTCCACGATAGCGAGGCGGTGAAACCCGAAGCAGCAGTTGGTGAAACCGTTGACATTCTCAAAGCGGAAAGCGTCTGGACCGCGATGAGCGATTTTCATGGCATTAGTGCACTGAACAGCAAGGCACTCATCACTACCAAACAAGGCCCATATACCACACATTCTGATGCTGCAAATTAGTAAGAACATAAAATGTATTAATAAAATGTATTACCAAAGTAATCATGTACAAATGTTTTCACACATTAAGTCAAGACCACGGTTTTTGGATATGTGCCATGGAAGTACTAACAATATTCTTTGATTTCATCATTTGTTTTGAGCAAAAAAAACTGATGTTCATTGGACGAGAGCCTCAAAATAAGTCATTGCGGCTCCTGTCTGGAAGTGCACACTTCACTGGGAGCAACACAAACAATGTGTGAAAGTCAGGTTTCTGAAGTAAAAATAGGCCATTCATTTTCTCTACAGGGGAAATTATTTTTAATGAAACCTTATAAACCCGTAAAGACAGAGCTGCTGAGAGCAGAGGTTGTTAATCGATGGTATGTGCCATCAGCCAGTATTATTTCAATTTTTTTTTTTTTTGATAATTGTTTAAAAGCAGAATTCCCAGTGAAAACTACATTACCCATGATTCTGCAGAGAATCTGCACCAATCAGAGAATATAAACAAGCAAATTGAGCCAAAAGAGCACTTTTAGCACCCATCATCTATTCCCATAAATCACTGCGAATGATGTAATAGTCTTCACTCTTAAACTACTTAAACATGTGTATATAAGGGGTGTAATGATACATGTATTCGTTCCGAACCGCGGTTTAGTTCATGCTGTCCGACAATGAATACAGTCAGTCATAGGCGATCAATCCAGAAGGGGGGCGCAGGAAAGTTTCAGGTTCTATAGATGCACTGAGGCCTGTTGCACAAAGCCGGCTTCGGCTTTTACCCAGGTAAGTTTGCGTTTAGTTTGAGCAAACTCTTGAGTTTCCGGCCTCAAGAAGGTGGGTTGGTTTTGATTGAGTTTCATCGCCATGGTAGCTCCGGAGCAGGTTTTATTCTGGGTTAGAGACCGCAAACCCAAACTGGACCAATCAGCTGTGAGCAAAGTGACAAATATCTGATGCAATAAAGTCACGCCCCCTGTGTCTCTTGCTTCAAATTAAAGCAGTTTACGGTGAAATAATTTTAGAAACAAAATTGCTGCTAATCTTTAGCTGCTAATTATTTATTATATTCATATTGTATGAGTTATACACTTCAAAGTGTCGCGGTGGGAAGGGAGTAATCTTTGCAGGAGTGGACATGGAGGTTTTGATGTCTATCTAATATATAAAGCTTTTAAAATTACTAAACTTATGTGTTTTCTTTTGAGCTCTTTGTTAAAGCATATAAATTATTAAATTCAGTCGATTCATTTGCATAGTCAGATATTTTCTTTCTGCTTCCTCCTCAAACTTTTGCTGCAGCAACAGTGTTTATACCTGCATTGTAAATGCATTTAAAAATTCCTTATATTTTTAATAACGACATCTCTTAAAGGTGTTGTGTGTAATTTTTTTTGACTGTACTAAAACATAAAAACACCATAACACATTAGCAGATATTCAGGAAACATGCTAGGTTCACATACTTGTTTTTCTGAAAAACAATACTACAGCCAGTTATTCTACTTTGAAAATGTGAATTCCGTGTCGGAATGTCTGTTTTTGTTTTGGTCTGTGTGATTCCGCCCACTGCCAGTTTACCCAATAATACATCAACAGACCGGGCTGCAAGTTTGTAGAAAGCAGAGCATACTGCAGTCAAGCGAGCAAACGAACTGGGTCAGAAATCACAGATTCTAGTATTCTACCGAACCTAAAAAGCCTCGGCATCCATCTAAAAAGCTTTATGACCACAGGCATAAAACGCAGATAAATCAACTCACCAGTTTACAGTGCAAGGTTTGTTGCCTTACAATGTCAGTTGCGCTTGTTCATGTTGCGTGTCCTCAATCAGACAACCAGTGTGGGCGTTGAGCAAGTGGCAACCTCCCGGTCTCTCTCTTGAAACCAACACGGAAGTGACTTAAACTGCAATTCATCGACTGGCCGCTAGAGACTGGCTCCAAAAGGGAGTCATTCCCGTAGAGCCCCCCCCCCCCATGTTAAAACGCCCAAC